AACACAACAGCGTTTGATTTCACTGTCAATAACTCGTTTTTGAAACAAGCACTTGGCTGCATGTAATACCCGCCCGAATCAAAAAATATTTCATCTACGACGGTGTCATGCGTCATTATCCCGTATGCCTCGTCTTTGTTTTTTATCAATTGAATTTGAAAATGTCTTACCAAGTTGGCAGCCTCCATTCCACATTTCCTGAGGGTTATAGTTGGACGACTGTAGTCGCTGTCCTGAGGGGTAGACCCTGCTAAGATGGTGGCTGTTGTGGCGCACAAAATACATCCCTGGAGGGTAAAAACAAAGAAACCCATCTCGTCGAGCCAGATACGCAGATATGAAAAAATATCGTGCAAAACCGATTTCACGTCACTGCGACAAACCCTCAAAATATGTAAACTACAAACTCCCTTGAATTTTTTTGCATTGCATTATTCACTGTTTTCCATTATCTTTTTCCAATCCAAATAAACATAGTTTATGCCACATTAGCAATATCACGAACCAGTCATTTAGCCAAGCATAAGTTTGACAGATTTTTTTTTTTATTACCTCTAATAACAGCATTAAAAATACAGTAGATCTTGTGAACTTTAAAATGCGTCAGTTTAATTCACAACATGACATGGACTGGATGCCAGTAAGTCTTTGTAAACCAAGATATGTTATTTTAGCAGCATTTTTTTCCCTAATGGGAGTTTTTCTGTGTGTCAAAGAACGTGACAATAAACACTTATTTTACTGATTCTCGATTGTACTTTATGGTTGATTCTCTCTGCCCCCAAAATTTAAGTTGAACGTGTCAAAATAAGCCGTGCAAGTCTATATTTACACGGACCTGCATGTACTATGATAGAGCAAATGGCTCATTCAATGAGATGTGATGCTTTGACCACAAACACTTGGTGTCATTTTAGCGGATTGCGCAGATTTTGCAAGTATCGCTATGTGGTCGACTAGCAACCGGAAAGTAGCATGCCTCCTTAGCCCAAATGCGGATAAAGCTGATCAGAAAATGCATGGCACACTTTGGTTGTGAAATTAACTTGGAATCCGGAAGTCATCGCTATAGAAAATCTATAGAGGGGTTTGGCCTTTTTTGGCATCTCTCACAATGCACTGCCGTCGTACATATTGAAAGGATAGCCACATATTTATGAAAAAATATATTTGGATAGATGATTAGGCAAGATACCCGTTACAAGTCATGTGTGATGATTACGTTTGTAAGCAAGTAGCTTTCAACACATAAACAGTGGATACAATACCTGAGTCTTTGACATGTCTGAGGGCTTCACTTTCAGAAAATGAGGACATGTCACTTGGCGGGGATTTGGCAGCGTGTTGAAAGCTTTTAAAGTGCACACTGCGGGTGTACACGACCAATTCTGACAGCTCTGAACTCATCTGAGGCGCGGCCGGCTAAAGTCACAACAAAAAAAAAACGGTCACTCCCAATGCATCTTCACTCTGACAAAAACAATGACATGTGTAGACCTTGTCATCTTTTTTCCTGTTATGGGTACTGCTCTCAGCTTGGTTGACTTCATCGTCTGATGAGCTGAGGTCTGACGAGCTTGACGTGCCTTCCCGCATCGCTGGCTTCTCTTTCTTCCCCTTAACGAGGATTTTACCTTTCAGATCCTGCAAACAGTGCACACGACCACACTTTACCCACATATTACCCAGAGGAAAAATGAGTTCAACCCTTGTGTTTGGTATTATGAATTTGGGGTGTGTTTTATCCAGAATATCTGATTGTATCTCATCACACCTTAATTAGCAATCGATTCAATGCAAATATGCACAATGTGGAACAATTTGACGTGTTAGATAACAGGAGGGTTCAAATAAGAGCAATAGAAAAATACCCGCATTTTTAAAGACATTTGTGCAATGCAGGGCCCGACATTAAGCATTTTTTTTTTGGTAGTGGCCTGACCGAGCCACCATGACCCAAGTTGTGGTGGTCTTGTCAAAAGCTTTACTGTCCCCACATACTAATTAATGAAAAAATTATTTGCAAATCATTGTATTCTGTTTATATTTACTGTTTACACAACATCCTAACTTCAATGGAATTGGGTTTGTATTAAAGCTAGCAGCGACTGCGCTAGCCAAAGCTAGCAACATGAGGCTAATCCAGTCAGGGCAGTATCTGAAAGTAGGTCATGGCCCCACACAGCAGCGTCATGGACACGGACCAGCGAGCCACCGTTAATGTCAAACCCTGATAATTGCAAGGCTTAGCTTTTGTGCTAGGTGCTGTACAGGCGGCTCCTCCGACAAAAAAACAAAATTCTTTCAGTACGCATCATCAGATTTTCAAAATTCTTGGTATGTTGTACTCAGGTTCAATCTAATGCACTGGATTTTCAACCGGGCCTTTTTTTTTAGTTTCCTAACATACTTCCGGTGAAGGCAGGGTGTTGGGGTCGAGGCCACCAACGGGCTTGGTCAGCAATTTGTCTCCAAGGATGCTCTTCAGGTGTCGAGCCATCACTGCCTGCTGCTCCACAGAGCAGTGGTTCTCCAAGGAAAGGATCAGAGGGTACGGCGATGCCTAGATCATGATAAAGCATCGTGGGAAATCAAAAATCAGAACAGGGGGTGGGGAAACATAAAAAGCATTATTGTATAAAATGCATGAATTAAAACGGAATTACTATCAACGCCTTCTACCAATATCCACATGTTTTACAACAATACTTAACAGGATGTACCTGGGGATGAAATGGATATGCATGTACTCCTTCACTAAAACGCACTACCGGCAAGGTAGAACAGCACACGCGCTTGAGGAAGCCGGATCAAAATGTCCTTTAACCGTCTCGTGCACCCTGTAACCTGATAATATGATAAACTGTCCACTGTAGTCACCGCTGTCCCTAAAAGGGTTATAAAGCACAACTAGTGTGTGAAGTTAGATGGTTGTGAATGCGAACGATCCACATCCAGACTCAGATTTTTAGTTATCATATTCATGCTATTTCTTTACGGGAAGGATTTGACATGACGCACGTCACAGGCGGGCTTCGGCCTTCTGTGTGTGTCAGGCAGATCTGAAATGATATAACTGGAGCTTTTTTGCACCCTAAGTACCAGGACTTGGAAATTATTGTATTGCATAATTTTGGCCGGCTAAAATTCACAACACCGTAATGGTACCTGTCCTTGGCGCAACACTACTGCTGGGTCATAATTTTGACTTCAACTTTATATACTTTTCAACAGAGATGTGCATTCCATCCCTGGGACGGAACGCTCCATTTGTACTTGTCCTTCAGGACGAAGACAGACGGGAGACTGTGGACGATTATTATATGAATAAAAACCATGTTCAGTGACGTAGGATGGACCGGCAAAATAGAGTAAAGCACCCATCTCTGAAAAATAATTTATACAACAAGCTTCACATATTTAAGGTGCAACGGTGGAGAAAAAAAATGTCCACCAGGGAGGACAATCGGTTAACACCAGCACTGTTTCTTCTGATCGGTAATGCGATTGTTGTATACATTTTGGTTTTGGAGGCAAAGTGTTTTATTTATAATCGATCTAGTTGATCTCATTATAAAAAAAATATATATATATATATATATATATTGAGAAGTGAACACATGATTCAGGGCTCTAAAAAAAAAAAAAAACAACACTTTTTCTGACAGATGAACAAGTAAGCTCTTAAATTAAAAAAAAAAAATCTGGTGGTCATCATGCATGGCTTTGGCCGGTGAAATTGAACGAAACGTTCCAAAAACCGGTTCATCACAGTCAACTTACAATTTAACAAAGACTTTTTTTTTAACCACACTACACTTTGCATTGACTTGTGTTGTCATTGTGAGATTTTCAAATTGGCTTGATGATCTGAAACATTTAGATGTGCTAAATTTGCCTCAGGAAATTATAAATATTTTTTTTATGGCACTGTTAAATACACTTAAAAAAAACCGCTATGGATTCCTTTTCATTCTTACCGGATATATGGCTCGACGCCGCTCTCTCCGGTCAGCTGATCCTTAGTCAAGTATGTATTGTGGGATGAGGAAATGAAGTAGTGCGCCAGCGGTTGTTTCATGTTTTGATAAACTCGAACATGTTCCGGGTCAAAAACAGAATTCTCCTTGGACAGCATGTACATGGTGAAGCCATTGGGTGTCATCAAATGGTTCCTCTGCGCTGTGTTGGGCAAAAGACAAAATAAAAGCAAACAAAAAGGATGCCAGAGAATACAATATTTATTTTGTGTCAATGTGATTCCATCAGTTCTACTATTTTATTTCTATTTTTATTTATTTGATGTAAAGTATTCTAAATGCATATGTATTTTTTTCGTAGTTACATTTAGTGGCTTAATCATTTTAATCAACTTTAGATACTGAAAATTGAAACTGTGAGTGATTAGACGGTTAATTCGATCTAAACATTGTTTCTTAGTAATACCAGTCACCAATTTTTTGGAAACATTTTGGGATTTTTTTTTCTTTTTTGCACTGACTCCAAATCTGCACTCGTTATTTTTTTTTCTTGCACATCAGGTTTTCCAAATATTTGCAATTTTAATATTTTACGTATTTTGCAATGTTTATTGACTAAACCCAACTTTTCTTTTATATTAGATTTTTTTTAATATATAAATTCTAATTTCATAGCTTCACAATACTTTTGAAACCAAAAATATTAAAAAAATTGCAATTACAAAACAACCACTTGCTTCAAATGCTTTTATCTTAAGGGTGGCATTCACTCATCTTGAATACAATTACGCAACTCGTACAGTGGTTATTCCAAACCAGGCTCCTCTCCTGTTTTTCATCTTTCTTTGCTGCACAAATGTTACATTTGTATTCACTACTGGATATTGAATGGCTACTGAGGAAGATTTCAATACTTCCGAAGGCAGTAAAGGCGGTAACGGATTACTAAGTAACATAATAACGCGTTACTCCAAAATGTGCACATTTTCCAGTCATGCCAAATTTAACATTACTTTTAACAATCAAGTAATCAGATTACAATTACTCATCAAACATCACAAAACGTTACTCGTTTAAAATATACCGACTCGTTCTTGAAGGTGACGTCAATATTTGAAAGAGTAGCACCGTTAACCCTTTCGGGTACGGCAGTCACAACAGTGGACAGCCTATATGTCATGGTTCTGTTTGTGACCAACAGGTGGCACTGTCGGGCTCCGCCCACAGCGGCACACCTGTTGGTCATGATGTCATTAGTAGTTTTCTCAGGGTCGGGGCATTGTTTGGG